CCCTCTCCTCCATTAAATAAGTGGTTGTTGAAAGCTGGCGGCTGTAATAAAGGAAATCTCAGATGCTAAATATTTCACAGGTGTGCACACAGACTGCTCAGTGTCATAATAACTGTTTGCAACACATATTGGACAGAGGCTGGATGAAGCAATGTTATACATATCATCATGTAACTAAGATGACTAAGTTCGATCTTATCTCAAATACTATCTTTACTTGCCTGGTGGAATAAGGCTTTTCCGCCACATTGTGTTATTTTTCAAGATATCCTGCAGGAATTTAAATGTGTATTGTTCTTGTTCGTCTTCTGTTCTATTGCAGTTGTATGTGTTTGCATGTTGGCAGTCCTCTGGGTCCTGTGTGCCCCTCACTCTGCTCGACAGCGTCAGACTGAGACATCAGATAGAGAGAAACGTGACGGCATGTCAGACTTTAGTAAAAGCTCGGAGCAAATATCCTGGAATGTATTTCCCCCCCGGTCGGAGAAGGAGAGGGTGTGGGTGTAATTCCAACCCAAAATGACTCAGTAATAATACTGTAATTACAGCTGACAGTTCGGCACTGACACGCGCGTTTCTTGAGGGCGCTTTCATCGCTTAATTTGTTTCTTTTTTTACCCATCAATGGAAATAAGACTGGTTTATTGGCGCCAGTGAAATTGCGGCATGTGTTAATGCTGACCATCCATCATGCATGACATCATTAAGGAATGATGGAACTCATCCCTTACTTTAAAAATTAGCCACGCTGTTTCAAGGAAATACTTCGCTGGAAAAAGTGTCAAAGCGTGTTGGAAAGGGAGTCATTGATTATTTATTATGGGAGGCGTGTGGCGCAGTGGAATAGTGCGCTGGTGTTCGGATCAGTGGAGCACAGGTTCAAACCCCACAGCAGTCAGCATGTCGGACACTTCTCCCCAAATTGCTCCTGTGGGGACTGCCCATAGTATGTAAGACGCTTTGGATAAAAGCCTCTAACAAGTAACATGTCATGTAAATGCAACGGGATACAATGTAGCATATTCAAAACAGGGAGTTAGGAGGCCTATATGTTTGCAGAAAACTTGCTAATATGACTTCTGCTGTTTCATCCGCATACAGTAACAAGTTTTTTGTGTGGAAGCCCGTGGTGCTGCGGGAAGGTTAGTCATCGCAGTGCATTCTTGACGGGATTGAAGGCTAAAGCAAACAATTTGACCACGTAATAATTGCCATGTTTTTCCCCTTTCCTCCTCTTTTGCCTTTTTTGTTGACCAACCCCGCATATTTTCCTTTCTGTAACCACAGTGCATGCCAAATAGGTTTCCTCATTCAACTCTTTGACCCTGAAAGACCAGACAGAAGGACAAAAAGGGATTATTGCAGTACGATCTTGGTCCCCCTATATTTTGGAGGCCAAAAGTCAATTTCATATTGGAATTTGGACCAAAACAATCGATGTTACTCCAACACAAATTGCAAAAAGAAACGCTGTTAAACAAGATAATCCAATACAACCACAAGTTAAAGCCTCAAATATTACACTGAAGACAAATTGAAGCAACATTTTGTTCTCTAAAAAATACGGTAGTAGCTCATTTTGTAAGGAATTGGCTTGATTACACAACGGACAAACTTGGACTGGTACTTTAATGCTTTTCATGCTGCCTATTGCTCCAATCACTAGGAAGGGTTATTGCAGAGGCCACATGTAACTTTGTGTGATGTTAAAGAGGATTGATTTTGAAGCCTGCATCTCCTTTTCCATATTTTTACAAGACACTCGTCATTTGAAGAATTTGAGAACGTTTGCGCATGTTTCGGAAATAACTCCCTCAAGGATTTGTGTCTGTGTTGCACAAAAGTCTGACCTCGGAAAAACATACCAAATAATTTAATGTTGAGACAACATAGCCAGACAACACAACATACCAACTCGTAGCAGAGGTTACGTGAAGTTTTCCTACAGGAATGAGACAAAGATACAGAGAGCAGACAGTCTCAATGTCCACAGGAAACGTCCACAAGCATTGTGAATTTATGCGGTGAAATTGCGGGAAGTTACGAAATAGAATAGATTTTTTTTGAAATATTGGGCTGTCTTATTTATTCTCTCTCATACACAACCTGCCACTAACGTTAAACCCCTTTCCTATTCAATTAAACACATTCAATGTTTATTTATTGTAAAAGCAATGGGGCTATTTTAATCACACTCTCACACACACACCCACTTCACCGCCTCATTCTGTTTTCATTTACTCGTTCGTTATCTGACCAGCTTCAATCTTGTAGGCTACTCACTTCGTTTCTTGTAGCCCTCTGGTCAGATAACGAACGAGTAAATGAAAACAGAATGAGGCGGTGAAGTGGGTGTGTGNGTGTGTGTGTGGTGCGCGCGCCTCGTGCACGCTCCTCACCGGACACAGACTGATCGCTGCCTCCTTCAGCCGTGCAGCGTTTCTGGTTATGATCATTACAATAAATTATTTGAATCGTGGTGTATTTATATGTTGATGCAAACTGTAAAAGGATGGTTGGATATTTCAAATAACAAATATAAAAAGTAAATACATAAAATAAATAATATAAAAACTAACTTCCACAGTTGTTACTCTTTGTACTTCATTTTACTGAAGAACGTATAAAAGGCTTCCTCTTTCCAGCAAAGTCTCTGGAATCAAAGGGACGTACACATGCAGAGCTGTGAGCCTCGCAGTAACAGGAGAACCAACCAACGGTCCCATTGAGTCCTATATTCATTAATAGCTGAGATTTCAGAAGTGAGTACAACTTTGATCTACTGATTAATACTCCACTCAAACCTTTACATGTTTCACTTCTTTCTTACATTAGGAGTTTCAGCTCTAAGTGAGATATGAACAGACAGAGACTAAGGTTCAGATTGAACTGGAAACACGTGTTTGTTGAGGCAGTGTGAGTTTCACAGTAGAGACAGGTGTTATTATACAAATTATTACATGGTTTAGTTGAATACTCGATTCTGATTGGTCAATTCAGAACACGTGACACGTTGTTATTCCAGAACAGACAGACCGCTGTCAAGGATTTATTGACCGTTGTTAAGGACGCTCACATCTGCACAAACAAGTCCGTTCGATTTAACTGTGTACAGTTTGGCCAAACTGACAAGACAAGAGCGACAAGAAAACAGCGGAGAAGTAACAGGCAGAAATCCTCCTTTTTACGCAGCGGTCCAGAAATAGACATCAAACGGCGACACATATTCAGTTGCCAGTTCCTTTTGCATTAGGGCAGGGATATCTAGATACTTTCCAAGGTTTGACATAATGAATTGTGCTACTTTTAAAGCAAGCAGCGATGTTTTCAAATCTGTAATCAAAAAGCTCCGCCTTCCTGCCGTTGCTACGTTTTTATAATAAATATAGATATAACACTTTACAGATGTTACATGGGGGATGGATGGAGTCTCATTTACTGATGTGACTGATAGATGTTTCTATCTCACTGGCCTCAGAGCTGTCTGTCTGCTGGAGACCCTTATTAAAAACCTGCTGCTTTCTGTCTGACTAGTGGACTGTGAGACCCTCGTTTATATATCAGTTTGATAAACTGCTCTGTCCAAGAATGAAAGGCTACGGTTTCAAAGTCAACAAATACATTTATTAATGAGATAACTCAGATGAACTGTTTAGTCCACAGATCCACTTGTTGTGCTGATAAAGATCTTCTTCTGTTTCCTGCAGTGAGAGAAGAGCCGTAACAGGAATAGACCTGAAGTGAGTCACAAACATTAGCTGATAATACTTTTGTACTTTTATAAGTACGATTTTAAATGCAGGACTATAAGGAAGTATTGTGTCAACAATGTATTGGTACTTTTACTATTATGTATATGTACACTTCTTTGAACACTGCAGCTACACAGCCCTTGAATCCACTGTGAATATAACCACAGAGCTGATGTCATCACATGCTCAGTTTTTACTTCTGCTTTTGTGATAGAGAACAGGTTAGCTGGAACACAGCTTCTTTCTCACTTCTATCTATTTTACACTCTGTGAGAAGTCATATTATCCCGATTGCATTTTAAAAACTCTTCACTGACGCTGAGAGCAGTGGACACTCCCCTGTGTGTGTCTGTGTGTTTGTCTTTCTGTGTGTGTGTGTGTGTGTGTGTGTGTGTGTGTGTGTGTGTGTGTGTGTGTGGGGTGGGGTGTTTTTTTTATTTGGGAGCAAATTTTACGCCCGCTGTTTTCAAACCTAGTCAGGTATTTAACGTTTAATAAAGAATTATTATTAACTACAAAACACAGAATTTGTGTGATTATACTGAATGATTTAAAAATGAATATTTGACACTAAACACCACTGCATATTTACAACTGTTACATGTGTGTAAAGTATTTTTCATAATAAAAGTTTATTCTAGAACAAAACTCTGTTATTAGATCAATATTTTTCTTATATATCAATTATTGCTAAATCTGAAAGGTCTTTCCCAGCTTTGGAATTTCTCTGTTAGGGCCAAATAACTAAGATTATTTTTACTGACTTCATAGTTCAAACATTATCATATAGCCAACAAATGTGATCATAAACCAACACACTTTTTAAAGATATCGTTTTTAAATCCTCACTGAAGTCACACTTCTTCTCTCTGGCCTTCTAGTCAGAGCTATGACACCTGACATTTCCCTGTGTTTTTTCTTATTTTAATATTTCTGTTGTAAATGATTGTCTTTTCTTTTCTTTTATTATATGTACAGCACTTTGGCTCGACCAAAACTAGTTTTTAAATGTGCTCGATAAATAAAACCTGATAGGATAAGTTTATGGCGGGAAAACTTGCGCTTGCGTCGGGTTTCCGCTCTCTTTATATGTACAGTCAGTCTATGGTTGCCGTACGTAGCTAGCAGACCAACTCCTCTTGGAGTGTGACGTGGACCGATCCTCCCCTTCTCCTCCCAGTGAACGCTGTAGCCTATATAAAGCGGAGCATGTGTCAGGTACTGTAGGCTACTGTGTTTCGCTCTTCAGCTGAGGTAAGCCACTGGACAACTGAAGACATCCAAGGTAATGAATGGATATTTTAAAGTTATAATATTTAGCACCACCAGTGTTGCTTAGTTTCTTTTGTAACTATATTTCCCTCACTGTTGTTCTCTCTTCAATAACAATCCGTGTATCTACGGATCATTTGTTTTTCTTTATTCAAAAATTAAACGGAAGAGCGTCTGTTTGCTATATTTAATGATCGATACCAATATTTGTTACCACACTTTCTGAATAAAACAGACACTGTTGAAGTAGGCTACTTTTACGGTGTATTTTTGTAATAATCCTCTGTCAAAGTCCCCTCCATAATGCATGTTTTCTGCTGTCTTTGATGAATGATAAAAATATAATTTTACCATTAGTTCTTAATTATATTGATACTGTTTGACTCAGTAGTCTTACACTACCACAATACAATTAAGTACTTATAGTGTGTACTTTTCCAGTAATCCTGTCCCCTCCTGAGTACAAGAATGCATGTTTCTCTATTATTTTTGAATAAGCGTTAAAACACATTTAACTTAAATTGTTGGACAGAGTATTTTAAGAGGATATGGTAGACATATTATCAGCAATTCTTAGAGAGACGGCTGAGTTGACCGCACTGTATAGTTTAAATCTCCTAACAATGTTGTCCATTTTAGACAGAGGCTTATTATATGTACAGCCCTTTTTATAACTTTCATTTTCTGTGCTTTTTTTCTGTCTTGGCCGTTTTCATTGTGATCGCTAAATTCACCTTGTTTCCCTTTGTTTATAATATTATCACCGGTCCGTTCCAAACACAAGATCCGTAGATACACGGATTTTTCACCTCACGAAGCATTCACACATTCACTACTATTATAATAATAATAATTATTATTATTATTATTACCCAGAGAGATTCTGAAACAAAACTGTCGGGGTTCAGTTGGTCCTGTATTTCAGTCTGTGTTCTCTGATCTCAAAGCAGAAGGTAGGCCTATTTCCTGATTCAGTTCAAATTAAATATAATGTTGATATCTGGCGCCACCTAGTGTCAGACATATGTTACTGTTCCTGGTGTCAGTTCTCTGAAGTATTGGGATGAATAAAGACAGACTGTATGTTTTCTAATGTTTGTTTCCTCTCACAGGGAGAAGATGATCTTCCTCACCCCGCTGCTCCTCTTCCTCGCCTCCTGTGTCTCTGGTTAGTTTACTCCTTCTGCCAAAACGATTTCAACAGCTCACCTCTGACCGGCAGAGAACTCACTGCTACATAGTTTGAGTTTTCCTTCCTATGATCATGGACAATCTGCAATGTTCTGTATATCTGTACATTTTATGATATCCTATGTGTGTATATACAAGTATGTCTATGCACCTCTAGAGTGAGCATGTATTACTTAGACCCTCCAGAAAAACGCGATCTTGCGATCGCAGAATTTACCGCATAATCAGCAAAATGGCGCAGATTTTTAAAAGGCCGCATATTTATCAAAAGCCCGCATAATCCCACCATTTTTCCACACAAAGTTGAGAAAAAAAAAAGTTAACTCGTCTTGACGTGAAGTAGTGATGATGATGACGTGACATCATCAGCTCGCGCATCACAGAAGGTAAACAACACCGTAGAGTGAACGTGTTGAACTCACACGACGAACATTTCTGCTAAAGACCGGGCAAAGCAGTACCCCGATGTCTTTCACGAAAGTGGGGGGAAACTATTCTATACCCCGTGCAACTGTGTGTTGGAGCATACGTCTGAGAGAAAGTCGACGGGGACGACCCACTTTGATTCACTCAAACATTCGAAAATGCTTTCTGCTGCTGCGGACAAGAAAGCCAAACAACGTTCACCGAGGGATCAACCTCCAAAACCCTTTCGAGGGCTACAAGAAACGAAGTGAGTAGCCTACAAGATTGAAACTGGTCAGATAACGAACGTGTGTGCGTGTGTGTGCGTGTGTTTGTGTGTGTGTGTGTGTGTGTGTGTGTGTGTGTAAAAAAAAAAAATCTATTATTTTTCGCAACTTTCCGCATATTTTGCAACTTCCTGCAATTTCACCGCATAAAAACCCTGCATGTTTAATCAAGGATTTTTGCCCGCGTTTCTCTGGAGGGTCTAATTACTGCTACTGCAGTATTTTGACTTTTATTAGAACATTTAAATTATCCAGAATTGTTAAACTGTTTATATTTGATATAATTATTTTCATTTTTATTTTTTAATTCTCTATTCCACTTTTTAAAGTATTTTTATTTGAATGTCTGAATCTATTATGCTTCTGTCACAAAATAATTTCCCAAATTGGGATCAATAAAGTATATATCTATCTGTCTAATACCTCCTAAGAAACAATTGAATATTATTGAAAACATTTTGTGTCCCGTTTTACCTAAATTAAAATGGTATATGTTCCCTTTCGTATGGAACACTATTAGTGCAATACAATAAAGTTTTGCTAGAACTTTCAGTATATTCTCTAAAAAAAAGTAGTTTGATTACAAGTAATTTATTCTTAAAGTTAATGTTTATTCTCAAAAATTCAACTTTAAAAGTGCTTAACTGTTTTTTCTGATACATTTTTCCTAATGCCTGGCCTTCAAATTGAAAGATTGATATTTTACTCCACGTTTCGGCTTTTGACGTAGCATCCTTGAAATAGTGGCTCTGGAGGACACTTCCACGACATTGAGAAACACCCCGAGTCTCTGGCTAGCTTCAGTTAGTCTCTTTAAAGCTGTTCTCAGTAAAGCAGCACAGAAACTATAGCTGCAGTTTAAAGAGTCCCTCTGTGTCTCCTCCACAGGAACATGGCTGCAGTTTAAAGAGTCCCTCTGTGTCTCCTCCACAGGAACATAGCTGCAGTTTAAAGAGTCCCTCTGTGTCTCCTCCACAGGAACATAGCTGCAGTTTAAAGAGTCCCTCTGTGTCTCCTCCACAGGAACATAGCTGCAGTTTAAAGAGTCCCTCTGTGTCTCCTCCACAGGAACATAGCTGCAGTTTAAAGAGTCCCTCTGTGTCTCCTCCACAGGAACATAGCTGCAGTTTAAAGAGTCCCTCTGTTTCTCCTCCACAGGAACATTTGTAGTGAATGTGACTCAGGCTTCCTATCAGGCAGAGGAGAACCAGAACATCACCCTGGAGTGGACCTTCAGCACCAGAAGAGATACTTCACTCAACTCCATTTCTATCGTCTGTGATCTAGTATCTGTCAGGCCCTACAACTTGCTTCATCTATACAAAGGCATTGAACTCCCAGAGTCTCAGGATCCAGAGTTTGCAGGACGAGTCCAATGGGACAAAGACGTCCTCACAGAAGGACGCCTCACACTTCATGTCTCCAGACTCAGGACCAGTGACTCTGGGTTTTATATATGCAAAGTGTTCACTGATTATGGACGGAACAATGGGAGATGCTGTTTGAATGTGACTGGTGAGTAAACTCAGTCGAAGTCAAAGTAGATTTAAATGTCACATCCATAGAGGCTCCGTAAAGCAGCATTTATAGAAACCTCAGATTATTTAACGTAGATTAGACCTGTTATATATTAACACTCAAATGGTTCCTTGTGTTATATTCTGTCCTTTTCCACAGCTGCTGAAGAGCTTGAACCTCAGAGACCAAGAGAGTCCACAACCAGAGAGTCTGAGAAGACTCTGGCCTATCGTTGTGATAACAACTCTGATTCTCTCTATCGTCAGCATGGCCTGCATTGTTTTAATAAGATATAAGAGAAGAACCAGCCATGCAGATGGAGAGATTTATCAGAGTAACAAACTAACATCTACGTCTGAATCTGAGCATAAAGAGAGAAAGAAGCTCAGTGTAACATCTGTATAGTGTAATTTGTATACTTATTTATTTCAGTCATCACTGTGAGTTTTACCATTTTGCTGTAAGGTCAATCATCTGTTCTCTGTTTACTGACGGATATTGTTACCATGCTCTGCCTTTAAAGGGGACCTATCATTTTGCATGATGCCCCCTCTTCTTTTTTATTTTAAAGCTTTATACCCCAAATCAGCACTTTAGAAACAGGAAGTGAAATAGAGGGATATGAGGCATGGCTAGAATGGATGATCTGTTTGGTATTTTGAGCAAAACACTTCATAGACATGTTTTTTTATATATTTGTATCTGAGACCTATGCTATTGCCTAAAAATAGCATGATAGGTGACCTCTAAAAGTACATTTTTGTCACATATTGGGAATCAATCCCTTTTCCTATGAGAGAAATTGTGACATTTCTGTGTGTAAATATGTTGAATTCAGTAAATGCTCATGTTAGGTCATGTATTACAGGTGTTAGAGGGAATAATTAATGACTGTCTTTGGTCATAACAACATTGAATTACCTCCAGAGGACAATAACAAGAACAACAATAAAACTATAAATGATCTTAAGTGGTGTTTTGTGTTTCTTTCCTGATTGGTTTCTGCTACAGTCTCTTCATACAGCATATAAGTAAATGAAAGAGCGCTTTTTTAATATTATTCAAAAGTCTTTATAGTCATATGCAGCTAAAGTGTATGTATGTATATATATATATATATA